TGGAAGGGAAAAAGTCTCTACCATTACTTACTTACCTTTCTTGTAATCAGTCATGTTGAATATTTTGAGCTTTGTATAAACACCCCAGAATCTCTTTGGATGAACTTGATTTGGGTTTGCTAGTAAACTAATCTTCTCTACTTTCCATCCATCAGCCTACAAAATCAAACTCAAAATCAAAACCTTTTAAGTGTTTTCATATGATCTAATGAAAATGAAAAGCCTTTTTTTAGAAATGAGAATTCCACAAAACCTTGAGAAGCTTCTTAGAGTATTCAGAAACACCATCAGAGACTAAAACGACCATATCTTTCTTAGATCCAGTATCTCGAATCGATTTACCCAATACCCTAACTCCCAATAAGAACTCATCACCATACAAAAGCGTGACATAAGCTTCTTTAGTTGATTCGGATCCAAACGAACCCTGAAATTGAATTGAAAGAAGAGAGATTGAGAAGAAGAGAACCCAGAAACTCGGGTTGAGTTTCACCATGGAATCGGATCTATTTTTACTTTCAGTGCCACCGATATTCCCGAGGAAAAAACTTTCTCGAGAAAACAAAAAAAGCTGAGCTTTTTATAAACGTTGAAATCGATTTGAAATTTCTTTATTACTTGTTCATTGCTTTTGTTGTGTTCTGTTTCTTAACTTCTTTCTTCCTTCCTTCTTCGCCGTCGTCTAGAAACAGAGAAGGTTTTCTCCCCTACGAACCAGCCCACGATAACATACTCCATCACCACTAAAATTTGGACACGTGTAAGTTATAATATTTCCCCCCCGAAACGCGCCGTTTTAAGAACCAGAGCTCTTGTCTCTCATAAAATCGACTCAATCTTGTTATGTGATTGAATCTCTATTTAACTGTTTATGTAAAATTAATGTAATCAGTTATGATCAATGTAGGACTTTGGGTAGTTTATTAATATAAACAAACAGTTAGGGAAAAATATAAATGTGAGTCTCTCAAGTCTAAATAATCTCAAGTGGCTCATTTGGTAAACACAAGAACAAAAAACTGCAATGGACAAGAAATTTACTCCTGAATCTGCAAGAAACTCTATAATCAATGTAATGGAATCATCTTTCATGGATTTTTTAGGTTGGTGCACTAAGAAGTACGATTTCAGAAGAATCTCCAGCATCAAGGAAGCTCCTTGACAATGGCTGCAACAGAACAAGCAAGAGATTGTGAGCAGAAAGAAGATTGTTTTGGTTTATCAGAGAAACTTGGAGATGATGACTACGTGGAACTCATAAAAGATTTAACCATATGACATTTCGTTTTTGATAAAGACAATATGACTCTGATCTACAGAAAATGGTTCTAGGTTTCCTACAATATGCATTACTTGCCTCGTTGTAATTCGTTCCTGATAAAAAGAAAGGTTCCTTCTCCCGAATCCCGCCATTCTCATGAACAAGTCTTTCGAGATCCTGCAAACCAAACGAGGAAACTGAGATGATAAGATTTTTCATGTAGAGATTGTCTGGAACATCATTTACTCAAATATTCAGTTCCACAATGATCCCAAAATCGTGAAGATTTTACCTTTTGAGTCAAGATCTCAAATTCGAGTAGCTCCTCTGTGATTTTCTCAAGGACACGGCGATTTTTAAGGAGCATTCCCTTTGCCTTTTCGTACGCTAAGTCATAAATCTGTAGAGGAATAAGAGACATTAGAGAAGTTCTACAGACATGGCAGATATTATGAACGTATTGGAAACTATAAAGCAAACCGTACCTTTTCGACTTTACCGGCCATTTCGTATTCGTGATGGTTCCCCATACTCAAAGCTGAAACCTGCTCAATTGAATCAAATAACGGAATAAAAAGTTACCAAGTCAATCAATTGCACAGATGAGATGTCAGTATGAGTGCAAACTGTATATATCTAGCATTTTGGTTCACTGGTTTCAGCCACCTAATTTTGGGAAAAAAATACCAATGTCGAATATAAGAAAATCGGTTACCGCATTAGTGGCATAGTATACTGCAGGACTGTCATCGGGTCCCCAACCATATTGAAGCACCATGCGTGTTGCAATCTGTCGCAAGCCGCAAATAACAATTATAAGGTGGCGAAACATTAAGTATGTAGACAACAGGATACTGCAAAAGAGTAGAAGAAAGAGTTTACCTCTTGCGCTTGTGTTATTTCTGAAGACGAAAGATAATTTTCTTCTCCGGGAGGAAGAAGCATTTGGGATGCAATGTGAGATCCAAAGCAGAAAACGAGCTTCTTTTCAAGATATGATCTTGATTCCGTATTGCCAGTTGCAGAACCTCCACTTGTGACCTTGGTGATTTTTGTACACCCAATTCCTTCCCAGGAACTAGGCTCAAGCCACAGATTGTCGACAACATCAAAGTTTGGTATTAGAAGTGTGATGAGAGCACGACCAGCTGCCCAGACAGCATGTGGGAACTTTGTCTCCCTTGTCCAATCAATAGGAGGATTCAAGAGTTCTATTCCATTGCTTATCTGTCCATATG